TGTATGCAATCAATGCTTCCAATCATTCCTGGGAAACCTCGAGCCTCAGCTTTTTGTACAAGGCTTCGGATGTCCCTAGTCGTAGATTTGCAAAGGTATTCCTTCTTTTAGAGATTTTATACTCCATCACAAAATCTCACCAAAGCACTCTAGGATAGTTGATTTTTCCATCCACGCAATCTCATCTACCTACTCTGCAGATGCCCCATAAACAAGCATCCGCTAAGCAGTTGTAAGTTTTTGCTCTGGAAGAAGACCCAAAATCCCAACAGCATCATACTTCTGAACGAAGTATGTGTCGTAATTACAATATCATGCATGATTTTTTGGAACAAATGAGGCTGCATTCTATATCTCTCTCGAAAATGAGAAACATGATATAACGAATTTGGGATAAGTAATCTTCCAAGAAATTTTTACCCAGAGATTGCCTATGTCTGTTCACATTCGATGCATGACGACGGTGGTGTTGCCTTGATTCATTGAGTATACACACCGCTACAACCATTTCTTCCTCCTCTTTATCAGCCTCACGATCTTCTTCAGCACGTCTGCACCTGATTTCTTCCTCTTCTCGCTCTTGCCTCTCCAACACCCTCCTCAGGTTAGAATTGAGAGTAGAATGTGTTTTGTAAAATTTGAGAAATGAAATAATAGAGAAAATATGGTGTGAGAGGTATAAGTTGAGGGTGTAGTTTTATAGAGGGATTTAAAAGATAGAGATGACATGTGGCGCAATTTTAGAGAATGAAAATCTTATCTAAAATCTGATATTATAATTTTTTAATAAATATCTGAAAATTTTATCTGACATGGACACGTAGCGCAACTTTAGAATGTGAAAATCTTATCTGAAATATGAGATTATAATTTTTTAATAGTTTTATAGAGGGATTTAAAAGATAGAGATGACATGTGGCGCAATTTTAGAGAATGAAAATCTTATCTGAAATCTAATATTATAATTTTTTTAATAAATATCTGAAAATTTTATCTGACATGGACACGTGGCGCAACTTTAGAATGTGAAAATCTTATCTGAAATATGAGATTATAATTTTTTAATAAATATCTGAAAATCTTATCTGACATGGGACACGTGGCGCAATTTTAGAGGGTGAAAATCTTATATGAAATACGAGATAATAATTTTTTTATAAATAAATATCCGAAAATCTTATCTGAAAAAAGACACGTGGCAACCAAGAATCTCATCCGAAAATCTTATCTGGAATTTGATGGACATGTGGCAATCGAAAATCTTATCCGAAAATTTAATTCGAAAATTTTATCCGAAAATGTTATCTGAAATTTTAGATGAGAATTTTATAATAAATAGTGACACGTGGCAACCGAAAATATTATCTAAAAAGCTTATCAAAATTAATGAGTTAAGTATAAAAAAAAAATAGAAAATAAAGTAAAATGAATAGTGTTTGTCCTTACTTTTGCCCTTTGGGGTGGAACCAAAAAAGGCAAAGCTGCCACTATTCACGTGAATAGTGTCAAACCTTGCCTTGCCTTTGCCTTGCCCTTGCCTTTTGGGATGGAGGTGCTCTAACTTGTTCGATATGCCTACATATGTACTCCCACAAACTTCACAATCATCACGATCCACTCACTCGAAGCTTTCACTTGAAATCACTCAATCATTTCTCACTTGAGTTTCTGAGATTTAATTTGCAAAGATGGTGAAGAGTGGAGTGGCTGTGTTTTTCCTTCTTTTGGGTTTAGGTTTGACACAATGCATGGCTACTGATGATGTCAAATCTCCATCACCACCCACCCCAGCCTACCCAGGGTTTTCATGGAGGCACCCCGACCCTAAGCTTATAAAGTGCATGGGAGATTACCGTGCTGCTGCTGGAACTTGTTACCGTGAGGTTTGTGTGTCGTTCTAGACCCGAAAAGTCTCCATTCAAGAAGATTGCTGCAAGGCCATTGTACAACTTGATGGAGATTGTTCCTCAGCTGTGTTCAGCAGGGTCAACAACCCTTTCTTCCAGCTTTTGTTGAAGGAACATTGCTCAAACAAAGGAGGGTCATCGGCACCGGCACCACCAAAGGCAAGCCCATCACCACCAAAAGCATAAGATGTCTAGTTGAGTCTTAGATTAGGCTTTCTTTGAGTACAAAATTAGTCAAAATAGTAAGTACTCTTTTTTACTTTTTAGTTAGTTTTTTGCCCTAGGAGTAAATTATCACTCAGGTGTAGCTAGTATTCTCTATTGTGTCATATTTAAGTATTCTTAATACAAATTAATTCTGTTTAGTTATTTGTTGTTTTATGATTTGTTCATGATCTTATATACAGTACTGCTTCCAGATTTGGGACTTGATTTTCCGTTGCGTAACCATTTTGGTTTTAGTTTTCACTTTTCTAGTTTTTAATCTTCATTTTGTGTAACATTTCCTTACCATTCATCGCTCATTCGTTATGAACTTTGACCGTGATCAAAATTGCTTCTTTGGTTTTAAAAAAAAATTGTTTGTGGTCACAAACCAGTAATTCTGAAATATTTGCGTCTGCCACCCCAGCCTACCCAGGGTTTTCATGGAGGCACCCCGACCCTAAGCTTATAAAGTGCATGGGAGATTACCGTGCTGCTGCTGGAACTTGTTACCGTGAGGTTTGTGTGTCGTTCTAGACCCGAAAAGTCTCCATTCAAGAAGATTGCTGCAAGGCCATTGTACAACTTGATGGAGATTGTTCCTCAGCTGTGTTCAGCAGGGTCAACAACCCTTTCTTCCAGCTTTTGTTGAAGGAACATTGCTCAAACAAAGGAGGGTCATCGGCACCGGCACCACCAAAGGCAAGCCCATCACCACCAAAAGCATAAGATGTCTAGTTGAGTCTTAGATTAGGCTTTCTTTGAGTACAAAATTAGTCAAAATAGTAAGTACTCTTTTTTACTTTTTAGTTAGTTTTTTGCCCTAGGAGTAAATTATCACTCAGGTGTAGCTAGTATTCTCTATTGTGTCATATTTAAGTATTCTTAATACAAATTAATTCTGTTTAGTTATTTGTTGTTTTATGATTTGTTCATGATCTTATATACAGTACTGCTTCCAGATTTGGGACTTGATTTTGTTCCGTTGCGTAACCATTTTGGTTTTAGTTTTCACTTTTCTAGTTTTTAATCTTCATTTTGTGTAACATTTCCTTACCATTCATCGCTCATTCGTTATGAACTTTGACCGTGATCAAAATTGCTTCTTTGGTTTTAAAAAAAAATTGTTTGTGGTCACAAACCAGTAATTCTGAAATATTTGCGTCTGCCATACCACTTATGAATGGTATTTAAATTAGGTCAATGAAAAGAATGTGAATTATCTCCAATTGTGTATAAGTACACGTCTATCTCTTTTATCATGTGAGGTAATGGACGGTGAAAAACTAACTATGCTAAAAGAGAGTTAAGAAAGCGAGAGTCCGTAGGTTTAATTAGTCAAGTTTTTCAGTTGGTGCTAAGACTCGCACTGTTGGTTCCTGTGTCGTTCCATAGAAAAACCAGACAAAAATGCAGATTCGACCTTTTTCATATGCTATGACTCTGCATTGTTGGTTTCAATTGCTTATGGGGTGGTACCACAGTGGAAAAATGGTCAAACTCTCTCCCTCCCCAAGTGCACACGGGTTCGATTTATGTACAAGACAATCTTGAGACAACCCGATATAAAACTCTACCCTACCCTTTCCTAGCGAATGACCAAAAAAAAAAGCATATAAAAAACAACTTAAGAATTCTATTTAAACTTAGACTTTAAATTAAACTATGATAGACGATTTGTTCCTAAAGCTATATTAATGTTCACTTAATTAACTGCAATCTTATCCTGGAAGTGATCGATTTGGATAATCACCAATCCATCTAATCTAAATCAAATTCCGAACTAGTTCTATACTTCCACAAATTGCACCATCTCTCACTCACTCACAGCTTTCACTTGAAATCAATCACTCACTCATTTCTTTCACTTGAGGTTCTGATTTAGCAAAGCAAAGATGATGAAGAGAGGAGCTGTTGTGCTGTTCTTTCTCTTTTCTTTAGCTTTGACACAAAGCTTTGCTGCTTCTGATGCCAAAGCTCCTGCACCACCCTCACCGTCCAAAGGTTCCATGGTATTCTTGGTGACACCTCCCTGACCCTAGCAAGCTCCAAAAGTGCATTGGAGCTTACCGCACTGCTCAGGGAACGTGCTACCGTGAGATTCTCGTATCTTTTTGGACACGGAAGGTTGCCACTGGGGAAGATTGCTGCAAGGCCATTGTAGAAGCTGATGATGATTGTGCCTCTACTGCGTTCAGCCAATTCAACAACCACTTCTTCACGATGTTGTTGAAGCAACATTGCTCGAACAAGGGTTCAGCAGCACAGGCACCACCAAAGGCCATGCCGGCACCGTCGCCACCAAAGGCAACACCGGCACCATCACCACCGAAGGCATAAGATTTCTAGTTGAGTCTTAGATTAGGGTTATTTTAGTATTCTTTTGGTATTTTATTAACATTGATAAACTGTATTTAAATCTTCAGGTAGTGGCTGTGGTTGGGTCAAGAACAGCTTTAATTAGTTCCCCTAACTGCCAAGCTTCCAAATTTTCTAAGACTTCCTCCTAACACCGACCCAAAAGATGATAAAACTTCAACTCTTGCTTGCAAAGTTGCAATGCAAAGGTCAACTAGCATGCGCAGCCAGCACCTTCTCCAGTTAATTAAAAAAAATTGAAGGTATGATTTAAAAGTCGGGCAGAGAGACGCGTATGAAAAGACAGAGTCATTCCACAAGCTGCTGCATGAACTATTAGTAAAATGAATCAACAAGGGAGACCAAATGCAATGCACGCCCAAAAAGGGAGACCAGAATATATATCATCTGCGAAAATCATATATTAATTCTTCGTTTTATAACCAATTAGCAGGCCTATAATCAGCCATTTGGGTTTTCTTTAATTGGTCAATTGTCAACTATCTGCAAACTTGGGGAATGAGCAAGGAGAAAATCATCAACTTTTTTTCAAAAAAAAATTGGCTCGAAATTCCCAACTGGCTTGACTAACATGTTCATTTATACACATTTTTCTTTACCCCACCCCCAAAAGGAAACAAAAAATAAAAATTCCCACAAATCATCTGAAAACCCATGAATCTTATAAGAAACTATATGTCAAAAGGCTAAAAAGAAATAGAAGAAAGAAAGGAAAATATAAATAAAATTTTTAAAAAAAAGAATAAAACTAATGGTGTCTGGTGTTGGAGCTACGGACCGTCACACCATGCAAAAATTTTGTATATCCAAGGAAACTAAGCTTTCCATCTGCGTTTCTGATCCAATCTCTGAGGACAGAGTAGGCAGAAGGGCCAAGATTTAATTCCTGCAGCGACAGGGTAAACGCGATTGAGATCAAATCAGAAATGCAACAGAACTCAGCTGCAGAAGAAACATAGAGGACTTCCATGATAATGAAAGAGGTAGAATTGGACATACTCTGGCCAATTCTTCAATCGATATGACTCGGTTACCCTCGCGTTCAAAATGCTCAAAAGCAGTAGAGGCTATCTGCTCCCAACCTTCAAGGGGCTCCAATTGATGCGTACTGATTGCGGCTGCACAAAATTCTTCGAAGTCCATCGCTCTATAAGCAAGCGGCTCCATCTGAAGTCAAATACAGCATGGAATTGAGAAACTGATTACTACTGAATTCAGAATAATATATAAACAAAGAAAGAAAAGATCGAGCCCGGATCTTCTTGAAAATGGGAAGATCTAGGATAGGCGGCCAACCAAAAACTCATATTAGAAAGACAATCGTTTTTTTTAAAAAAATAGGGAAAGGCAGAGTTTGTAAGAATTTGGCCAAAGGAAAGTGACCTTCTGTTGCATTTCCAAAATTGAAATGACCTCAAAAATGGAAATGACTTACAGCATTTACTATATCAACAACCCTCGACTCCCTCATCGCCTCAGTTGAATTTCTTTGAAGAGCCTGCAAAATTCAATCTTCTAAGCATAAAATGACTTTCTTACAAACAAAAAGAACAAAGGAAAAAACACAAGTCCCTCTTCAAAATATATCTCGCTTGTACAGTCAAATTAAAAGCATTAGGAGTAGGAAATAACCGTTTTGAAATTAAGAAGAGAGACACATTCATTGTTATCTGGTTCCAAAAGCATGAATTGGGCTCTAAGATATATCAGCTCATCCTCTGTCAAGGCTTTTGAAAGAGACTGCAATTACAACATAAAAAAACAGAAACACATTTTGATATCCATCACAAAGGAATCTCAATCCTTACTTGTTGCAATATAATAGACATTAATCTAGGAGCATACAGTTGAAAATGATTTTTCATACTTGCCCCGTGAAAAGTAAAAGATATGGCACATTAATAATCACACAACCTTAGACACAGGAAATAAAAAAGGAAAAAGAAGACAAAAGGGGATAAAAAGTCACGTAATTGACTTGGATTGAGCTACATGGAGAAAATGAGAGGAAATTAGAATTTTGCCAATTTTGTTTCTATGAGCCAACAGTCTCTCCAAATCCTGCCTACTTTATAGAGAGAGTTTAAGAGACAACTATAATTTTTGCCTTTTCTTTTCTCTTCCATTTAGAAATAGGAACCAAACAAGGGAAAGGAATATGGGAATTTAATAACAAAACAAGGGGTCAATTTTTCCATTCACTTCACCAATTAACGTTTCTATAAAACTAAACATTGATTACATGGGCAATATCTTCCTTCATGTAATCAAAGATTACCATGAAAAGTTGAAGATACATTCTGCATTATCATGAAAAAAAAAAAATGTAAAATTACTCTAACAGGAATTAATCATTGAGTAAAAACCAAAAGTTGAAGTTTTGGCATTCAAGAGCAGAGACGACTAAGTAAAATATACTACTAATAATCAGGTGATATCCAAAATCTCTTAAAGGGAAAAATACAACGGGTGAAGGTAGCAAGAACCATATTTGGAAATGATAATAATACCTTAAGTGCTGCACGTTTGAAGGGCGTAGCATGGAGATATGATTTGACCAATTTGTAGATCAATATATCTAAAGGAAGGGGACGACTATCATTTCGCAACCATGGGTGAGCTGCCAATTATGAGTGATTATTAGCTTTAAATATCAAATCAAAAACATCAACTATCATCACTTTCAAATAAGAATGCCAAAGTAAAATCAAGTTCTGATTTGGCAAACAGTATTCAATTTAATGTCACTCATGCTTGTAATTTGTAAAGAAATATTTTAGGGCATCCAACTAACAATCAATCTGGAGATGTTTGGGATGATTCTATCACCATCTTTTTTGAAAGGAATGAATAAAGCTAGTTCAGCATATGACACAATATAGGTGGACAGTTAGTTCAAAAATGATGGACCGACCAAATGGCAATCTCCCACCCACTCCCTAATATAATTTTTATTCTCTTTCAGAATGTGGGAGGAAACGACATAAGACCACCCAAGCATCATTAAGAGCAAAGCATATCATCTAAAATTTCCACCAATTGGCTAATCTCTTAGGTACTTTAGACAGCAATAGAAAGAAATTTGCTTACCTAAAGCCTGGACAGCAGTCATTCTTTTCCTGTAGTCCTTATTCAAAAGCCTTCTTACGAAGTCCTTGGCCTCTAGAGACATAGAAGGCCAGGGTAAATCATCAAAACTCGGATCAGCTCTTAGCACTGCACGGAAAATTCCAGATTCCGTCCGTGCCCAGAAAGGTCGGCTTCCGCACAGCAGGATATATGTGATAACACCAATGCTCCATATATCTCCCTCAAGGCTATAAGATCTATGGAGGACTTCAGGTGCAACATAGTATGCACTTCCAACAATATCATTAAGTCTTTCATCTGCACATATATGCATAAATGGATAAATAATAAAGAAAAGATTTCCTCATATAATCTAGTAAGTACCAACGAATAAAGTCCGAAACAGCTCTAGCGGTCAAAAGGGCAAAAAGTATATTGAAATTGGACTGTTGAAAATATACTGTGCATGTTGTCCACTGCTGTTCTCATAATATTATGGCATTTTTTGGTGCGAATAATCAAATTTAGTTTGTCTTAGTAAAGCTTGAAAAAGAAAACAAATGCTTTATTTTTTCAAGTGGGGTTAGATTAGATAATTCATGTTGAATAGAATTGGATTGGACTTGACACAAATGTAACGTCATCCATAGGTTTATCAATTAAATAGATATAACGTGACCGATCTGAACATGTTCAACAAGTTACCTACAAACCCGAAGAATGAAGGAGAAAACAAAACGCTTCTGAGCAAGAAATTATTTTCTAAGAAGTTTCAACCAAATTAACCTTGAGTTGATAACTATCATCAAATTTATCAAATGTGGTCTCAGATTGACTGCCAAGTCATGGCACGATGTTCCATTTAATTGAAACATCAAATACTCAGGAAAATCCGAATGTTGTCCCTTTGAAAAGGAAAACAATAAATAAACCAAGTGGTACCTTGAAACTGCAGCTCTAATATATTTATTAAACCAAGGAGAATATTCAACTTCAACTAATGAGAGAGTAGCAATGATCATCAAAAGTTACCTGGTCTGATAAAGTCAGAAAGACCAAAATCAATAAGCTTCATATCAGCATCTTCACTTCTAGAAGCGAAAAGGAAATTCTGTTAAGCAGGAGAGAGAGAGAATATATTTAGCACTAAGTTTGGAGGTAGAAACAGATACGAGATCGTAATTAACTGAAGCACATATAGGTTGAAAATCGAAACCTCTGGCTTTAAGTCACGGTGCACAACGCCTTGAAGATGACAAAATGCAACAACACTTAATATCTGCACAACTATATGTTTTGCGTCTTCCTCCGCATATCTTCCACCTCTGCAATTAAGGTGAGTTTTTCAACACAATTCAGCTTTGCAATGAAATGACTAATATTTAAATACTGGCCAAGAAAATACCTAGATAAAATTCTGTCAAGAAGTTCCCCACCTTCACACAATCTGGTAAGAGAACACAAATCCACAGATGTCATACCCAAAGAGCAGGAGAAATATGGCATACGATGCCTCAACCAGATAATTTATATACTTCATCATTCAATAATCATGCATGCAACACCAACCTAACTAACTATTTTCACTTAAATAAATAATATTTAAAAGGAAAGTATCAGTCAACATTACAAAACATAGATAACATAAAGAACGCCTGACCCTCCAAATAAAAAGGATGAATAGAAAACAAGGTATACATACTCCATGACTATGTAAACATTATTGGCGTCTTCACATGCATCATAAAATTTTACAAGATGCTTATGCCCAGATAGAGCTTTCAATATCTTCACCTCTCTACGAACATCTTCAATCGATATCGCTGTCGTCATCTGCCAAATGAATTTGGTAAGAAATAAATACTATGCATTTAAATTGGGTAATCGATATTTGCAAAGTTTCACACCATTACAGTTAAAGAAATTTGAGACCTACGGAAAAAGGAAAAGGAATATGAGGAAGGATGACAATTGTCCAAATCACTTGTACACAGGTGTTATTGTACTTCCCCAAAAGCACTCCCGTACAGATTGTAGACTAGATACATTTCCAGCTATAAATTGCAGCTTCTGACAACGCGTTGTAATAGATCATAATACTATCCCAATTATAAATTACAAAATTTTGACATATGTAAGTAGATATCTGGGTAAATGAAAGGGCAAGTCGAGTTCTGAGGCGACTTAGATGCAAATAACTAAAATTGAAAAGTAAAAACAGTTTACGCTCGAAATGCATGCAAGACCTACGATGTCTGACACTTCATTCAAGACCTAGGATGTATGATATTGAGGAACAACCAAACGTACCTATGACTAGTCATTTCAGAAACTTAAACAATTCTTATTTGTTTATTACAATAGTTAAGATACATGGAAGATGGGAAATCGAATAATTACGATTTTTAACAAAACTGTCGTGTACCTAGTTTGGGGACTTCGATGATTACATAATCATTACAGAACGATAATTATCATGCATTAATGCAACCAGGGCACGATGACACGTTAGCTAAATTCTGCAGAGATGGCAACGTGGACGCAGTGAAAAACGCAACGTAAGATTCCAAGGATGTCTGAGCTGAACACATCATCTTCATGCTGCATATCCCACATCATTTTGGGATACTGCAAACAGATCAGCCCTGTTCTTTTCTTCTTCAGTAAGAAATTAATATTCAGTATCTAGTTCATAAATTCTGTTTAACCAGAAGAATTACCATCAATGTGGTTTCTCTATATATGCATTTTATATGGTTCTTTTCTTCTTCTCCATGCATTACATTTCCACAGCTATTTCGTTCCTTTTCCATTTCTTATTAAATCGCATTTGACACCACCTAATATGAACTCAAAAGTGGTTCCCCTAAGACATAGCCATTCCAATCCCTAAAGATTTCCCACTACAGTTTCGACATGACAATAATGGAATATCTTCTACATAAAGATAACACATTAAGTTCCCACTGTACCATAATTTATATATAAACAGAATTTGCATTTCAGAAACAACAATTACTAAAAGATCAATGAAAGGAATATACAATTGATAGCATAGCTCGATTGTACCTTGGCTTTGGAAATGATCTTAACAGCCACAGGCTGGTCCTTGAGCTCGCCCTTCTTGCCTCTACCAGAGCAAGTATGACCAAAATGCCCTCGCCCCACCTCCTTCCCTAGCTCATACTTAGCTCCAAAATTCTTCCCATACCCGAAACTCTTGTCCAGCAACTGTTCCGGTTCAACTCCGTGCTCCTCGGGAATCGGGCTCTCCTTGGGCTTACCGAACCGCTTGGCTAGAGACGCCTTTATATGCTTCGCCGGAGAAGGAGGCGCGAACCTCCGCCGGAAAAACCTCCCCGGAGTCGACGACCTCGCCGGTGCCGGCGATACTCCCGCTGGCAAGGGGCTAG